CCTTTACGAAAAGAAAAAAAAACTATCGTAATCTGCTAATATTGTATTGAATATGGCAATTTATCATATTCATTAATTAAACACATAAACACCCTGACACTTTAACTATAACATATACATGCTCCAAGTCAGGAACCGTTACATTAGTGCATTTCACAATTATTTTATGTTTTTTAGCAAAAAAAAAGGTCCATTTTTTTTTGATTTTACGCCCCCTCTTTCAAATATCCTAGAAACGCCCCTGCTACCTGCATGGTCGCCGACAATCACCCATGGCCAGTGCAGTTCCGCTACACTACTGTAAATACTTGTATTTAAAACACCCACACGAATCAGACTCATAAAGTTAGGTAGCTGTACGTACATGTAAGATACAGGTATATTGTCTAGTGTTTCCTGGGTTATCGTGTGGTAGTATTAAGTTGTGATTATCCGGATTATTGTAAAGTGTTATATTTTGTTTGTTTCCAGATTATCGTGTGTTGGTTTCAAGTGTTTATCTGAAATATCTTGTGGTACTCTCTGTTGTGTCTGGATTATCGTGTGTTATTCTCTGATGTTTATCTGAAATATCGTGTGCTTTATCCTAGCGTTTATATGGATTATAAAATGGGAGTATATGATGTTTATCTTGATTATCTTGTGCTGTTTTCTGGTGTTTATCTGGATTGTCGTGTGGAAGTATCTGATGTTTTTTTGGATTATCGTGTTCTATTTTCTGGTGTATATTTTTTTATTATCGTGTTTTATTCGGTGTTTATTTGGATTATCGTTTTTTATTCGGTGCTTATCTGGATTATCGTGTGTTATTTTTCTGGCTTTTATTTGGATTATCGTGTTTTATTCGGTGTTTATCTGGATTTTCGTGTGTTATTTTATTGCGTTTATTTTGATTATAGTGTTTTATTCCGTGTTTATCTGGATTATCGTGTGTTATTTTCTGGCGTTTGTTTGGATTATCGTGTTTTATTCGGTGTTTATCTGGATTTTCGTGGGGTATTTTCTGTTGCTTATTTGGAATATCTTGCGGTAGTATCTGATGTTTATTTGGATTATCGTGTTCTATTTATTTTGGTTTTTATTTTTTGATTATCGTATTTTATTCGGTGTTTATCTGGATTATCGTGTGTTATTTTCTGGCGTTTGTTTGGATTATCGTGTTTTATTCGGTGTTTATCTGGATTATCGTGTGTTGTTTTCTGGTGTTTATTTTGATTAATGTATGGGTGTAGTTAACTCTTGTGATTATCCGGATTTCGTTGCAATCGTCCGGATCATCGTATCGTAGGCTCTGCTGTTTATTCGGATTAGGATGTAGTTAACTCTGGTGATTATACGGATTTGGTTGTAATCATCCGGATCCTCGTATGGTAGACTGCTGTTTATTATATAATATAAATTTTATTTATTTTACAACAATTATGAAACAAGTTATTTCAACTTATACTAATAACTCAAGTTGGCCCGGATGTTAGATCGCGGGGGGTCTTAGTGTGGGAGAAAAACGAAGTACCCGGAAAAAACCCACGTCGTCGGCCAGGTGACCCAAACCTTTTCACATCCGATCGGGGAATCGAACCCCGACCGCCTTGGCCGGGAAATCGAACCACGGCCGCCTTGGTGAAAGGCAAGTGCGCTATCCACTGCACCAGCCGACCACCCATTGCTGTTTATTCGGATTAGGGTGTAGTTAACTCTGGTGATTATCCGGATTTCGTTGTAATCATCCGGATCATCGTGTCGTAGACTCTGGTGTTTATTCGGATTAGGGTGTAGTTAACTCTGGTGATTATTTGGATTTCGTTGTAATCATCTGGATATTTATATCGTAGACTCTGGTGTTTTCGGATTAGAATGTAGCTAACTCTGGTGATTATCTGGATTTCGTTGTAATCATCCGAATAATCGTATGGTAGACTCTGCTGTTTATTCGGATTAGGGTGTAGTTAAATCTGGTGATTATCCGGATATCGAGTGGCGAAAATCTTAGGTGCTATCCGGACGATCTACATAACGTTACATACTTGTGTGTTCGTCAGCATTATCATGAGGTAGTCTCTGTATCGTCTCTGATGTTTATAGGCGCTCTGTCTTATCGGGCACCGCTTTACCTTCAATCTTTTTCGGTCACGGTCCATTTGTATGTCTATCTGGTATTCAACGTGAAACCATTACATATCCTCGTTGTCACTCAGATTTTGTAGTTAAGTTGTATCGAACTGAAATATTTGTCAGTACTATTACGAGAAAAGATATATTAACCGATCACTCACTGCCGTAGTAGATACCGCCGCTATGACTCACTGCCGTAGTCAACGTCGCCCCCTATCACTCACTGCCGTAGTCGTTACCGCCCCTATGACTCACTGCCGTAGTCAACGGCGCCCCCTATGACTCACTGCCGTAGTCGATACTGCCGCTATGACTCACTGTCGTAGTCGATACCGCCGCTATGACTCACTGCCGTAGTCGATACTGCCACTATAACTCACTGCCGTAGTAGATACCGCCCCCTATAACGCACTGCCGTAGTCAGCGTCGCCCCTTATGACCCACTGTCGTAGTCGATACTGCCGCTATGACTCACTGTCGTAGTCGATACCGCCACTATGACTCACTGTCGTAGTCGATACCGCCCCTATAACTCACTGCCGTAGTCGATACCGCCACTATGACTCACTGTCGTAGTCGATACCGCCGCTATGACTCACTGCCGTAATCAACGTCGCCTCCTATCACTCACTGCTGTGGTCGATACCGCCCTCTTTGACTCGTTGCCGTACTAGATACCGCCCTTCTGACTCAATTTTGTTTTCGAATATATATCCGGAGATACGTAACGTGTGATGACAGTAGATAACACGAGATAGATAAAACAAAGCAATAGTTGTCAGATTTTTCTAACATAGTGAATGCCAAACACACTGACGGGGCACGCCCCCTCTACACATGTATCCGCTATGGAAGACAACAAGAAAAGCCATCCGAATAATTCCATGTAAATTTAATACGTTGAAAATGAAATAAATATTTTTTGAATAATTATGCATTTTTGTGTTGAACTTGGCCTGTGTCGCATAACAATTAACTACAATATTTCATTACATTAATTTTATCGAATTTTGAATTGTATGGTGTACCATCGGATCCAGTGGCGTACAAATGTACCTCCAAGAATGAGAGCACAACAAAGACATTTTAACAATGAGCTCAGCCAACACAGTCAACCCAGTTCTTGAAATACATTAGAAATGAAGAAATCTGTAAACAAGAATGAGATCGATTTCATCACACTGTAGAGATCAGGTAGAACATACATTACAATACTGTCAAGTCCCGGACCACACCGGGTACCACGAGCGATATGGTACGGAGTTATCCAGTTGGTGCGCAGTAATCCGGGTGGAGTGGAGTTATCCGGGTGGTACGGAGTTATCCGATTGATGTGGATTCATCCGGGTGCTGTGGAGTTATCCAGGTGGTGTTGAGTTATCCGAATGGTGTGGAATTATCCGGGTGGTGTGGATTCATCCGGGTGGTGTGGAGTTATCCGAATGGTGTGGATTTATCCGGGTGGTGTGGAGTTATCCGGGTGGTACGAAGTTATCCGGGTGGTGTTGAGTTTTCCGGGTGGTGTGTAGTAATCCAGGTGGTGCGGAGTTATCCGGGTGGTACGGAGTTATCAGGGTGGTGCGTAGTTATCCGGGTGGTGCGGAGTTATCCGGGTGGTGCGGAGTTATCTTGGTGGTGTGAACAGAGTAAGCAATGTTACACAGGCATTCATATTTGAAATGGTCAGTTTTTACCTATTTTAAGACCAATAAGAAATATGACGATGAGACAAATGTTCAAATATTACAATAGAAAATATTGAAAATTATGCCAAAAGGATGATCACACAGTTCCACTCTTAGACTTACGATTTTTACGGAAATGTCGTGATCTTGCCGTATGAACTCAGTTTTATCTTCTAATATGTATTATGGTGCAAAACAACAGGTAACTTTGGAAAGTTTGATATGCTTTCTGCAGTATTTGCAAATATGTCGGTCTGGTTCATTTTATTTCATACATCATATTTCTTTTTCGAGCAACTACAGTTTCACGAGGATCCGTACAGTACGAAGTACATTTTTTGAAATGATCCGGCCGTTACGAAGTACATGATCAATTGGTACAGAGCAAAACCACTAACTACACTATGTAAATTGTAATGAAACCCAAATGCAGATTGCGAATAAAAACTGTTGAAGAACACTGTCGGTCAGATATCGGTCCTGTATGACATAATATATGTTATACACATAATACACTCATCAAAGACGGGTCCAGGAGGATGGGGACCAATTCCCGCTTCAAAAAATCAAATGCATAAAACTCCGTCCCGATTGCACCAATCTGATTTAAACCAGATCTTTAATTCCACTCCAATACTCTACGTTCCAGGCAAAAATTAATACAGCTTATTAACGACAGAAAATTTAAATAAACTGGCGAATTTGTCCTTTTTAGTGACATAATTCATATCTCAACTGTGATTATAAAAAAAATCGGCAATTTTCTATTTCATATTTTGCATAGGTCACGATTAAACTGTGTCAGACGAAAATAAAGGTTTGTTACATGATGTCAAGACAATTTCAGCTTACTTTGCTCCGCACCACCAGGATAACTCCGTACTAGATAGGGGTACCCGTTGTGCAGGCGAATCGTCGGTGTGCAGACGGATCGGGGTACCCGGTGTGCAGACGGATCGGGGTACCCGGTGTGCAGACGCAAACGACCCATCTCGTTATCTACATGTGGTCCTTATCCAACCCAAGATCTTGTCGTTACATGCGAGAAGTTTCCAGCTCTGAATGTTCAAAGGCAAACATCCCCAATATTGTACGCGAGCAGTATCCACTCCTGTACAAGGCTATTGGTATCTTTATTACAGGTGAGTATTGTCCGGCGGTAGAGTGACCGCCTCTGTAACACGTGAAAGTGATGACATGGAGCGAGGTGTCCGTCCTGTGGACACGTTATGTAAGTGTTGCTTCCTCCAGCAGTACCGAATGTTCTTCCTGAATTGGGGTGAGTGGACGAAATAGATGAACGGATTGATAGCGTAGTTCATGAACAATAACAACCGTCCTATCTGACCGAACACCATCATCCACGTCTCCTTGGAATGGCCCCAGGAAATCACCAGTATGTCCCTGGTGTTGGCCGGCGTCGTCGTAACGATGTAAGTGACAATGACAAACGTTACAATCTGCGACATTTGTTTTGTGGCGTTTAGTTTACACGCGGCGAGAGAATCCTTGAGCGTTCTGGCCTTTAACACATGAAAAAACAAGATGGTAGCTAGTGGGAGAATGGACATCACCAAGGTGATAGTGATATTGGTGACCTTGGACATCTGAAGGTCATTCTCCCTGTTTATAATCACGGCGTAAAGATAAAACCACCCGTTGAGCGCACTGAACACCCACACACACAGCGACACCAGAATTATCCTCTTGTTAGTGATGGCGATATGACTCTTCAATGGGTGCACCACAATATAGTAACGCAGAACGGACAGTAGTAAAACATGCATGATGGAGGAGCCACCCGCTGTCAAACCAACCAGGTCGCACACAAACTTAATCGTCTTCATCACATGGGCGGAAATAAGGTCCCGGAAGTACCCCATCACTACATACCGGATATATCGGAACAAGAGAAAAGTAAAGTCGGACAGTGACAAAGCGACAATTGCAATAAACGTTGGTCTACGTAGCCGCGAGTCTTTTACTATAACGAAAACGACGATTAGGTTGGTAATTATACCAATAAGAGCGATGCAACTGATGGCGATCGTGATGGGGACACAGTAAGACGTCAGACAATTACCTGTATCATGCGTTTTTGCGCTGCCGTTAGTGTACGGAGTGGAGTTATCGACCCTTAATGCGTATAAATCCGTAGAACTTGCTATCAACATTTTCGGAATTATGGTCGACGACATTCTTCTACAGGAACATTTCTGGAACAAACACTGTACATAAGCTATACAAACAGAGGAATACACGTGTAATTTGTAACCCTGACTTTTAAAATCATGCCGACCGTAAGTCCTTCGTCAAAAGATAGGCCCATCAACTTATAAACTCAAGCCGACCAGAAATCCTCAGTCAAAAGACAGGTCCGTCGACTTCTAAACTCCAGCCGACCGTAAGTCCTCAGTCAAAAGACAGGCCCACATATTTCTAAAATTCTTCGCATAATAAGCCCTCAGTCAAAAGACAGGTCCGCCGACTTCTAAACTCAAGTCGAACAGAAATCCTCAGTCAAAATACAGGTTCGCTGATCTATAAAGTCTACTGAAATGCTGCAACATCTTTAAAAAATCACAAAACAGCAGTCGCAGACATTTAACACTCAATCCAATACCGCGAATTCTTGAAAGTCTGAGACGTATCAGTGTACCTAATGGACACGGTATACTGTACCAATACCCAGTCCCGTCAAATATCCAGCACATCGAAACTGTCCAACTGATGTTACAATAACTTACATCAAGTCCCCTAGAGAAGTGGGCATGTAATGAGGAATTCACCACACTGTATAGGACGTTATTCCAGAAATTAGTACAATAGTCAGTTATTGTCTTTCAGCTCATCAATATTTCGGAAACGAGGTCAAACAGGTGCCCGTCCAGAACACAATACGTGGTGTACTGTCCACACCGTCCTGTTTCTGATAACGATTACTTGTACTAACATACTCCGGACAAGTTCTTAAATAGACGCCAGCTGCTGTATTACCGCCATGCCAGAAAGCGCGGGAACATGTCTTGGGGGCAGTTAGCTTACCGGCGCTGACTGATGTGGTCGTGCTCAACTCTGTCATTCATCAAGCATGGACACAATAATGAAATTCGCTATCCAAATTAAAATATGTTTACGAATACACCTACAAGCAGGTAATTACAGCACCTATGTCTATGTGAGTGATTAGGACACTGACTATTAATGACTGCACGCTTACACGGCCAGAGTAACAAAGACGTCCCGGGGCAAGGTTAAAGTATAATATATAGGTTATACACACTTTGAACTCCAGTACGTGTAAGGCGACCATAATTTACTAGCCAGCTGACGAAACGGCCACTAATTATCTAGTGTCGTCAGATAAGTATGGTACGTTATAAATGGTGTTATTATACTCTTTTATATTAACTACAATCAGTAATAAGCTACCATAGTATGTAATTTAATATGCGTTCAACATTGTGTTCGCACGTCTGTTCTGTATTTAATACAGAATTTGTGAAGCCTTTCTTTTCGAGAAAAATGTAAGTGAAGAGTACAAATATAAAGAGATGTAGCGTTTTCTTTGATAAATATAGTGGTCGAGTTTCTATAGCTCTAATACCCTCTATATATAGTGATATACAGCAGTGGGAATACAAATCTTTTATACAGTGATATACATCAGTGGGAGTGCAACTCTATATATAGTGATATACAGCAGTGGGAGTACAAATCTATATACAGTGATATACAGCAGTGGGAGAACAACTCTATATACAGTGATATACATCAGTGGGAGTGCAACTCTATATACATTGATATACAGCAGTGGGAGTACAACTCTATATATAGTGATATACAGCAGTGGGAGTACAAATCTATATATAGTGATATACATCAGTGGGAGTGCAACTATATATACATTGATATACAGCAGTGGGAGTACAACTCTATATATAGTTCTATACAACAGTGGGAGTACAACTCTATATATAGTTCTACACAGCAGTGGGAGTACAACTCTATATATAGAACTACACATCAGTTGGAGTACAACTCTATATATAAAACCAGATAGCAGTGGGAGTACAACAAACTTGATAGCCGTATTTGTGGGTTTTAAAATTTTAAACTAAAATAGAGGAACTCAGGTCCTCGAATATGTTTAATTTCTTCAATTCCTACTGTATTTCGTTTCAGTACAGTTGACATTATGTATAGATTATTTGACACCAAGTAACAAAAGACAATGTGTTGGGAAAAGCAGAATGGGAATTAAATATGCCATACTGTCCGTCAACCCTTTATCAGACAGCTCCAAATTTGTTATATTCACAAAGGCCTCGGTCCCAATGATTTTGTTCTACGATGTAATTTCAAATTTTAAGAAAAACAACAATACTGACACCTTTTCTGAAAGGTAGAATATTACCCTAGACCGAGGATATTGTCTCGTTATATTTTGTGACTAGACCGAGAATATTGTCTCGTTATATTTTGTGACTAGACCGGGGCTATTGTTTCGTTATATTTTGTGACTAGACCGAGGCTATTGTTTCGTTATATTTTGTGACTAGACCGAGGCTATTGTTTCGTTATATTTTGTGACTAGACCGAGGCTGTTGTCTCGTTATATTTTGTGACAAGACCGAGGATATTGTCTTTTTATATTTTGTGACTAGGCCGAGAATATTGTCTCGTTATATTTTGTGACTAGACCGAGGCTATTGTCTCGTTATATTTTGTCACTAGACCGAGGATGTTGTCTCGTTATATTTTGTGACTAGACCGAGGATCATGTCTCGTTATATTTTGTGACAAGACCGAGGATATGGTCTCGTTATATTTTGTGACTAGACCGAGGCTATTGTCTCGTTATATTTTGTCACTAGACCGAGGATGTTGTCTCGTTATATTTTGTGACTAGACCGAGGATCATGTCTCGTTATATTTTGTGACAAGACCGAGGATATGGTCTCGTTATATTTTGTGACTAGACCGAGGATGTTGTCTCGTTATATTTAGTGACAAGACCGAGGATGTTGTCTCGTTATATTTTGTGACAAGACCGAGGATGTTGTCTCGTTATATTTTGTGACTAGACCGTGGCTATTGTTTCGTTATATTTTGTGACTAGACCGAGGCTATTGTTTCGTTATATTTTGTGACTAGACCGAGGCTATTGTCTCGTTATATTTTGTCACTAGACCGAGGATGTTGTCTCGTTATATTTTGTGACTAGACCGGGGCTATTGTTTCGTTATATTTTGTGACTAGACCGAGGCTATTGTTTCGTTATATTTTGTGACTAGACCGAGGCTATTGTCTCGTTATATTTTGTCACTAGACCGAGGATGTTGTCTCGTTATATTTTGTGACTAGACCGAGGATGTTGTCTCGTTATATTTTGTGACAAGACCGAGGATGTTGTCTCGTTATATTTTGTGACTAGACCGAGGGTATTGTCTCGTTATATTTTGTGACTAGACCGAGGCTATTGTCTCGTATTTTTTTTGTGTTCTGTTGAGTTTGGTCAAAATAACAGCTCTTTAGACAATATAAGATAGACTAGGCGTGGTTTTCATGGTTTTCAGTATAACAGAGTGTTACTCACTTATGATGCCAACAACTAGAACCTGACAAACTGATAGATTAGTATTGCAAGGGGAGAAAGAAAGTGTTGTATGTTAGCTGGATTTCCCCCCCTAACACCTGACCAGCTGATATATTAGTATTACAAGGGGAGGAAGTGTTGTATGTCTCCTGGATTACCCCCCTAACACCTGACCAGCTGATTATTAGTATTACAAGGGGAGGAAGTGTTGTATGTCTGCTGGATTACCCCCTTACGTCTGGCCAGCTGATATATTAGTATTTCAAGGGGAGGAAGTGTTGTATGTCTGCTAGATTTCCCCCCTAACACCTGACCAGCTGATATATTAGTATTTCAAGGGGAGGAAGTGTTGTATGTCTGCTGGATTACCCCCCTTACACCTGACCAGCTGATATACGTATGTGTGCTCGATTTTCCCCTTGTGTGAAGTATAGGTTCATATAAAAATAACCTGAATTTCCTCATTTTTATTAAGATAGTTTTCTCGTTGAGGATGCATCTTTGTAACATTTAGGATTTTATGTAAAAATATACGTGGTTGCAATATCATATATCATTCACTTTAAACAATCTTTCATTGGTGAAATTTGTCAACCTCATATTAGCCTAAACTGCCCGAAGAAAAAAATACGAAAGTATATTTGATTTGTGTTGAGATTTTAAAATCTTTGGCAAAATTTAATTGAAGGCTACATAATAAAATAAAGGAACACACATAGATTCTTCAATGGTTTTTATTTCTACTTCACCTGCACAATTTGACAGTAACACTATTACCGAAAACATTGTATTTTGTCGTCATCAATAAAAAAAAAAAAAATCGATCCTTTTATTCATCTTAACCATGTTTCGGAGTTCTCCGAATAAAAAACAAAAATAGTTTAGCTACATTATATACATCATTTACTGAAAAAGTGTTGCTACATTTTATAAATCATGTTTTGAAAAAGTGTAGCTACATTGTATAAACCATGTTTTGAAAAAGTGTAGCTAAATTGTATAAATCATGTTTTTAAAAAGTGTAGCTACGTTTTATATCTCATGCTTTGAAATAGTGTAGCTACATTATATACATCATGTACTGAAATAGTGTAGCTACATTTTATATATCCTGTTTTGAAAAAGGGTAGCTACATGTTATAAATCATCTTTTGAAAAGTTTAGCTACATTTTATAAATCTTGTTTTGAAAAAGTGTAGCTACATTATATACATCATGTACTGAAATAGTGTAGCTACATTATATACATCATGTACTGAAATAGTGTAGCTACATTGTATAACGCATGTTTTGAAATAGTTTAGCTACATTGTATTAACCAAGTTTTGAAATAGTGTAGCTACATTGTATAAAGCATGCTTTGAAAAAATGTAGGTTCAATGTATATTTCATGTTTTGAAAAACTGTAGCTACATTGTATAAAGCATGCTTTGAAAAAATGTAGGTTCAATGTATATTTCATGTTTTGAAAAACTGTAGCTACATTGTATAAATCATGTTTTGAAAAAGTGTAGCTACATTTTATATATCATGCTTTGAAATAGTGTAGCTACATTTTATATATCATGTTTTGAAAAAGGGTAGCTACATTTTATAAATCATCTTTTGAAAAGTGTAGCTACATTTTATAAATCAACGTTTTGAAAAAGTGTAGCTACATTGTATAAATCATGTTTTGAAAAAGTGTAGCTACAATTATAAATTATGTTTTAAAATAGGGTAGCTACATTGTATTAACCAAGTTTTGAAATAGTGTAGCTACATTGTATAAACCATGTTTTGAAATAGTGCAGCTACATTGTATAAATCATGTGTTGAAATATGGTAGCTACATTGTATAAACCATGTTTTGAAAGAGTGTAGCTACATTATATAAACAACGTTTTGAAATAGTTTAGCTACATTGTATTAACCAAGTTTTGAAATAGTGTAGCTACATTGTATAACGCATGTTTTGAAATAGTTTAGCTATATTGTATTAACCATGTGTTAAAACAGGGTAGCTACATTGTATAAATCATGTTTTGAAATAGTGTAGCTACATTGTATAAACCATGTGTTGAAATATGGTAGCTACATTGTATAAACCATGTTTTGAAAAAGTGTAGCTACATTATATACATCATGTACTGAAATAGTGTAGCTACATTATATAAATCATGTACTGAAATAGTGTAGCTACATTGTATAAACCATGTTTTGAAATAGTGTAGCTACATTGTATAAAATATGTTTTGCAACATTATTTTATATTGTCTTTTGTAGAATACTTTTCGGCTGATTATGAATACAAAATAAAATGATGCCTAATGCTGACATGTCGTCCAGGACAATTACAGGACAATTACAGGTAAATTACAGGTAAATTACAGGTAAATTACAGGTATTTATGTCAGCCTTTACTCACAGTCTAATATAAGTCACCACCTTTCTCTTTTTAGATTTTTTCTATTTTGCAAGATTAAGAAAACTGATATTCGTGACCTGGTATTACGACATATCTTACACCAAGAATATTCTTACCTGTTCTTAAGTTCAAGATTTGTCATTCCGTGGCCTATAAGTAAACCCGCCTCCCGATTTCGGTCTATACAGGTTTTTGGCATGTTTTTGTTGACTAGAGAAAGGCTCTCCCACTAATATTAAATGAATTACTCCAAGCATAAATACATTGAAAAGGAAATAGAAGATTTTTTTTTTAATTTATCATCTATATACTACTTTATACCACCTACCGGTAGCATGCTAGATTTATTATCATTGGTTGTCAGTATGAGAAGAAGTTGGGAATGACTTGAGAACAACTTGAGAACAACTTGAGCACGGATTTTCCCATTCCCAAGCACTTGGGAACGGATTTTCTCAAAAAAGAACGTCTGCTCGCGCCAGATGACTTCCGAAACCGGAAATAGTGTCCACACGAAAGTGACCCGCAAAGGAAAATAGTCCGTCAATATAAAGTTACGAAAAAATAATGTGAGAATAACAACACCATTTCAGTTGTAAATGTGTATATGGAAAAGCCAATGACGATAGGATTGTTTTAACAATATTTTTCTACGTAGTTTTAAGGTTCCTTGTATTCCTCCGCGCAAAACATCTTTTTGTTTACGTTGGTCACAGGCGATCGTTGACCATTGAGCTTAGAAGTCATTTGGAAAACATGATGTTTAGTCGACTTTTTTAAAATTGAGAAATATATAAGGTAGTAGTATATAGATGATAAATAGTTTAGCATACAGTATTTTTTGAGGGTTTGTCGTTCAAACAATTTTCTCATCGTTCGAACGCAGATAAAATCTCGAGTCCACCTGCGGTGGCCTCTCAATTTTACCTACGTGCTCGCGATGAGAAAATCGTTCTCACGACAAACCTCTGAAAATACAGTGTGATAATCTATAGATATAATCAAATGGAAATACTTTCATTCTGTCAATTGATACCACCGAAATTTCATTTGTTCCACATTTTCACTTCATCATATAAGAACATTCAGAGATCTTAGTTTTTGTCCTGAAATTATGAATGTGTACATAACAAAACCATGTCTATTAGCAGTGAAAAATTACCTACACATATATACTTTGTATGCAATAATTGGTAATGATTGATTGATTGGACTTCCTAGTTTCGGTTATTACCAAGCCTGGGACAAAAACATTATAGGAAGATAAAGTTTCCCATTCAGATTAGTTATCAACTAAAGCATGTCTAGTTGAATATTTAGATGTTTACACGGAAAAATGAAAATTGGAAGACAATTATTTGAGCATACATAAAATGAGCCAAACAAACCACCTGGTGCAAAACAGGTTACCTTTTCGGATTTATGTTAGTTCCCAGGTTTTCCCGGTAGATGGACAGGGTTTTAGACCTTGTTTGATTTATGATAGTCCCCAGGTTTTCCCGGTAGATGGACAGGGTTTTAGGCCTTGTTTGAAACAACATTGTAAAGGTGTGTTTAAACTTTACGACACACTACTTTTTAACAACTTTTGAAGCAAACATAAAAAACATGTTTTAAAAGTTAAAAAAGGCCATTAAACATGTGGATTTATCGGGTATTCCACATAGTTGCCATCGTCACATTTTAAAACTTGTATCCTTAATGTCTTAAATTCATCGTTTTAAAGTTTTGCTTATTTGTAAATGAATAGAACTGGTAGTGATTTTCATGGTTTTTTTTTATTACAGTTTCAGTAAGTGAAAATGCGACACATTATACAATTTTAGCTCATTAAATCATGGTGTTTTTCCTGAAACTTTTCGCAAGAACTCTACTTAACGAGACAAAAGCCATTTTAACTAAGAAGGGTTACCAATATAAAGTGATAAAGTACGCCAATGAAGCTTGCCTTTACTCCAGTGGTGTAATTAATGTTATAGACAGAAGCTAGTTTACCGCTGGTACATATTATGTTAACAGGTAGACAAAGCATGATCCTAGAGGATTGCTATTATTGTTATAATTCCAGCTTGCAAACAATCCTCATTTCATTTCCCAATTTCTTTAAAGACGAAGTACTGGCAAATTATGTTTCTATACTGCAAGCTTTCTGAATAACACAATAATTCCGTGCACTATCATACATTGTATGTCATACCAAATTGAAAGAACGCGTTCATTCTTTAAATATTCTAGCCTTCTTTTTCAAGAAAGGCAAACGGTGACGCAACTAATATAGTTATGAACTATTTTGAGACACATGATGTAAAAGCTAGTGGATAAGAAATACTGTCACAAAAGGGTGACTAATTATTTATTCTAAACACTAAAGTAAGTTTTTTATGAATCTTTCCTTCTTTCGAGATTTCCAGTCAAGATCTATTGATCAGTTGCTATGTGCTGTACCCTTTCTTAGCCTATATTATTCAGCAGCTGAAACTTCAATAGATGTTACAACATATGTGTCCATTACTGCCGCGTAGATTGACCTATTGACGCATTAATGGAATTTTCATGGCACCTCAGCCATCTTAAAGATTGTTTACATTGTACTGATCCTACAGACATTTTTATGTGTGTCCCTGTAGACTTAACATTACGTTCAGTGGACATAGAACACACAACTCATACATCAATGTTCATACATGCACCATTGCTCTTATCATCTACACGTCAATACTCTCGACAACCGGATGTTCTACGTACATGTTTCATACCAATATTTGTTTTTATCATATACTGTTGAGTTTCCAATATTCATAATATCAAACATTTTCTTAGAATAGAAGCGATTTTATCGACAGCTGTGTTGTTTAGATCACATTCGTACAATCCACTGCTACTGTCGAACACCATATCGAGGATCCCACCCAGCTGTCGTAGTTCACTTCCGGTCACGCGGTGACTTGTGGGAGTTAGAGAGGAGAGGTTCTCCTTGCTGGTGTGATGCAGTACCATTACAAACATGTCTCTGTCAGCTGTCGGTAAAATAAATATGAGTTTCAATCCCAGCTTTAATGTCAACAATTAAACATGGACGCATCTATTGATATATTTGCTGCTATTCACAGTGATACTGTTTTTTTTTATTATGATACAATCTGACATTGTTTATTTCTGTGCTGATTTGTTTTTACCTTTTATCCCCTTCAGAGTGTCCGCGATATTGGTACCAACTCTGGACATATTCAGACAGAGAACGACCTGGAGGCCGTTGGTGACCTCAGATGGCGTTTGGGAAAACGAAATCGTCAGGTTTAAGCTGAACATATCCAGTCTCTGTTGAAGGCGCCTCGTCAGCTCTTTTGTTACCATATCAACCAGAGTTTTTCCCAGTCCACTTTTTTCACTACGTAGTCCAAGCACTGCACATTTCACATGTCAAAAGAGATAAATACCCTTCAAAGTTATAAATCATTAAACAAATTAAGTAATAAGTTCTAAAAGTACGATATGGCGATATGGTACAGTAAAATATTAACTTTGTTTGGCTTTGTGCATCGAAAAAAATAATTTTCAAATTGATGCTTTCGTATTTCGTATTTCTAGTACTTATTTTGTCTCTTTTCCTTTAGCAAAATAATATAATATCTAGAACACTGACAGGAACGTAACATCTCAATAACCACGAGTGTGCTGTCTAATTGTCCACTTAGTGCCAGATACCGTTGTTGCTTTGTCAAGAAAGTTTAATATAGTTAAACCGGTGCCATAACAACCACGGTCAACGGTGTGGTCAGTGTAATTACTATCTTCGGAGGAGTGCACTGGCCAAGGGTATTATTGTTTCTGAATCCTATTTTATCTTATTTCAACTTTATATTTAAATACTGTACTTGTTCCGTTCATGATAAGGAGCCGGTCGCCCCGATATTGTTGCATTCACTCCCTTCCCTTGCCTAATACTGATTCATATGCTGCAAATGTATGTCTATAATGATCTAGTGTTATGTGGGGTTTTGCTGTTGATATTACAGTAAGACGTTCTATGTGTGTGTATATTTGTACGTGGGAACAATCAATGTAGTTATATATGGATGGCAACAATGTATATAGTTGTATATAGGCGGAACAATGTAAATACCGTCGTATGAAGGTGGAATCAATGTATATATAGTTGTATGTATGAGGAACAATGTAAATACAGTTGTATGTAGGTGGAATCAATGTATATATAATTGTATATTAATGGGAACAATGTAAATAAAATATATGTAGGTGGAAACAATGTATTTATAGCTGTATGCAGCTGGGAGCAATGTAAATCTAGTTTCTAGTGGTGATGTAGTTATGTGTGGTGATGTAAGTATGTGTTGTGATGTAGGTTTGTGCGTTGGATGACTGACTGGCTGGATGTAGATTAATCCTGTACACTTTTGTAATTATCATTACTGTAATGTACTCATATCAAATACATCGAAGTGTACATACAAGATGACAATTAGTGTAAATATATTTCTACAACAACCTCTTTAGGTTTCCCCACTCACTGGATACACCTGCTAGGAGTCGGTTAACTGTTTTGGCTACCCACTGTGACGCATGGTATTTCTTTCTCCGATCGGAAACAGAATCATGTATTGCCAAAAGAAATATATGGTTTTCTAGATTTGATATCGTTTATGTAAATATTCAAACTGTAAAAGACACTTTGTAAACACGTTTTTAGGTTACCTGAGACAAAGTCTCAAGTGACCTATTGCGATCGCCTTTTGTCCGGCGTCGTCCGTCGTCCGTCGTGCGTCCGTAAACAATTTACATTTTCGAATTCTTCTCCAAAACCACAGAACCAATTTCAATGAAATTTTGCAGAAACCTTCCATTGCCAAAGGTCAATAAAAATGGTTGCCGGTTTGGTCCCCAGCCCCCAGAGGCCTGAGGGGCGGGGCCAAAAAGGGTCAAATTGACTAAACTTTCAAAAATCTTCTTCTCAAGACCCAGATATGGTAGAATCAAATACTCTTCATAGATGGAAGGGTCTTAAGGTGCTTTACCAAAATTGTGAATTTCTTGACCCTGGGGTCTCACGTTTCCCCCTGGGGAGGGGGTAAACTTTACTATAGTTTATATAGGGAAATCACATTTTGGACCAACATTTGTTTAATTTCCATTTGAAGTAATTCAATTTGGGTTAGCATTATCAGTATTGGGTAGCAGTTTGATGGTATGCACATATCAGCCTTGACTGACCCCCCGAGGCTAATGGGTGGGGCCAAAAAGGGTTGAATTGACTGAAATTTCTAAAATCTTTTGCTCAAAGACCCAGATATGGTAGAATCAAGCACTCTTCATAGATGGATGGATCTTAAGGTTTATGACCCTAGGGTCTCACGTTTACCCACTGGGGAAGGAAGGGGGGGGGGGCAAAATTTATTATGTTTTATAATGGCAAATGATACTTTGAATATTACATGTTAATAACTTGATTGGAATTATAACCCTGAGTTGGCAGTTTGATACTATGAAACTTTTGAGCCAATCCTACCCCCAAGGGCTGTAGGGTGGGGCCCAAAGGAGTCAGTGTGCTGAAATTTCTTCATTTTCCTTGTTTAGAGTCAGAGGTGCTAGTTTCAAATACATTTTAGTCTTAAATCTGTATGCTAGATATTGAATAAGGTGGTTTTATTGTTTTTTGTCACCTTGAATAATATTTCTGTTCGTGTTAAAAAAAAAATCAACTCTCTGTATAAATATATCAGGTGACCGTTAAGACCCATGGGCCTTTTTGTGTTTTTTTTTTTATACAATTTGAATATTTACTAACTCGAGTTAAATAAACATAAGAACCAACCATCACTCGTTGGGGAATCTCTATTATATCTGTAACAGTCGTTAACATACCAACACGTTTTTTCTTCGGAAGACTCAATTCTTTGATTTGATGACGTAAATTTTCACTTTCTTCTCTCTGTTCATCTAAAAAATAACAACGTTGATAAATCAAAACATACACAACACGTACATGAATTATATTATAGCTTGTTTGTGTTGTATAATACTACGTCATTCATTGCTGAAATATGAAAAATACTAGAAGGTATTTAAAGTTTATATGTTATTGATTATATACTGATGAGTAATTTACACTACATATCAACTCTTTAGTCATGTTGTGTAAAATATTTGAATGCCAATATATAACTTAATTAACAATATAGTTATGCATACCACCATTCGTTTAGTTAGTGTACAACATATGGCGGAACTGGTCTCATTTGTTGTGTAAGGGTAACTACGTTTAATTTTGCATGTATTTGAAGATTTGCTAGCAGACGAAGGACACACAATTTCTGTTTTACCTCTACGTCTTTTTAAAAGCTGTCAAGCTCATGGTCAGAATGTTCCACTGAGCTTACCGCAAGTATGACTTGAAATCATTTTTGTAAATCTGTCAAATACTAATAAGTGTTGACGAGCGATGTTGATAAATTGGTAGATTTGATTGATTGAGATAAACATCTGGTATAAAGGTTGACCTCAGTGTGAATTATTTAACATTAGTTGATCAAAGAGCAACAGTAAATGAAAAAATCCTTCTCAGATACAGGGTCAGAAATGATAAAAAATGCTCAGCTTGTGAAATGAACTATAGGCATCACGTGACAAATGTTAGCGCGTTCAAAAGAACAGCCTTATTTAACTTCTTAGCTTATCGAGGTCACCTTGCTTATCAAAGGCGTATGAACATTAAGATATAGGTCCTACACTAAAACGACTTTCACTACATTTTACTTGGTAGAACAGATATAATCAACATTTGTTGTATATTATGGTGGGCACTAATAAAGTCTATAACTCGGGATTCAAAAATGTCCGTAAAATATCTACGCAGGCCGCAAGCGGTCTAGGTAAATTATTTTTCCGAACATTTTCTCACCTTTGTTATATATTTTACCATTATTCACGCACATACGTTGAATATTTCTTAAATGTACATAATAAACGTGAAGCTTACACATTATTATTGAAAGGAGAAGCACGAATTTGATCCTTACTAGCAAAGAGGTAAATATCAATAATCAGATGATAATATACAATAGATATGCTTATTCTATTACCAAATTTATTGGTGAGATCACATGTGTCTTACTATCATTTCTCAAGATTCAATGTGGAAAACATTTGTCGTAATCGTGATAGCCACACTTATTTGTTATTAGTTTTGCCACGGTGAATAATATAAACACTTCACTCATTTGTAATGAAGAAGTTCTCATCATGTTCTTGAAATTCATGTAATAAAAGGGATATACGCCCCTCTCCTTCTGTTTTAACAGCAGTTTAGACTATTCTGATTTCCATTGTTTTGCCCCTACCATCATCTAGAACGACGAAACAGCAATGATGCAATGTCATTCATATTTTGGCACATTGTCCTTTATGACAAATATCTGTACATTATCATTTGTATCATTTTTTTTGATTCCATAGTATAGTTTTCCTTAACACAAAGGGATTTCAAACGTCTTAATCCTAACCTTATTGACTTGTGTCACCAGTACACTTTTGTGATCAATAACTTTTTTGCCTTTTCACAATGTTTTAAATGCATATATATGTTCAGCATCATGTGTATCTGATAACATCGACAATGATAACGGTACCATGTTATTCAGGAAGAAATCAAACCTTGTACAGGTTAAGTTCCCAAAATGTCTTGCTTACTGCAATAGGATTCTAAACGTGTTCTGTCCCCGTTTCCTATTTAGTTAGTTATTATCCTGTGCCACCTTTACAAAATCTTCATTTATGGTGTTTGATTTTGCATTTTATATACAAATATCTTGTCATATACATGTAAAATACATCGGCCAGATCGATATTCTCTTTGATTAAATTAATTTGGCTTGCCATAAATACGTAAAGCCTAATATTGTTTTGAACACTAACAAGAAATGGAAACTGATTTTGCAAGGTTTTTGAAAATGGCCGGTGTCTCGAGTCTAAACTGCTAAAAAAACACCTCACTAAGCCACAGTATTCCGAATCAGTAAAGTAAGCTGTCAAAAATTATAGAGATATTTCGCCGGATTGCACTCTAATACTGCAGACAGACAAGGGGACGGGTAACATGTTTACCCTTTCCGCCCCTAAGTGGATATTAAAATGGGGTCATAAAGATGACTCAGCTGGAAGCCAGCTTCGTCTCAGTGCACCTAATTCCCCTCCTCTCCTTACCCAGATAGATTTTTTAATTTCCTGACTTTCCAGTTGTCCTCCCTTTCAAGCACTTTCCAGTTGTTCGAGTCTAGAATATGGTTGTGTGTGTTAGTATGGTCTGTAATGGCTGATTCATTGTACTGTTTCTCAGATGTTTTCTATGTAATTTTAGTGAAGACTTGCTGTCTTGTTGCTCAACGTCTTTCTGATATTCTTTTATGCACGTCCCAAATTTCCGGCTAGTTTCCACGATGTTTATACGGTTGCAGCTTGTTGATGAAATTCGGTCAACCCCTGAAATGCGGTCAACCACAAGTTTTGTCTTCCATCGGCAATTGGCCTTTCGGATGAACTGATAGTTGCTCGCTGGTGTTGTGTGGTCGCATGGGCGCACTAATGTGATGTCTGCGCGAAACTCTTGAAAGTGATTCAGACACCCCTTTTATGTATGGGATAGTGACCATGCCGTCAATTTCACTCTGTGTTTGTATGTTTTGTTTCTTTTGCCAATTGCAAAAGCTGAGTCATTTTTATGACCCCATTAAGTGACAGAATGGGAGAGCATGTTACTCGCCCCCTGCCTGACTGCAGTATAAGAGTGCAATTTGGCGAAATGATTTTTGACAGCTGACTTTACTGATCCGGCACGCTATGGCTTAGTTAATTGCTTTCAGCGGTTACAAAGGAAACACGTGTACTCAAAGGGAACGCGTCGACATCTATATTGTATATAATTAAACAAGACTTACTTTGACTGTCTATCATTTTTTTATTTTCTGTCTTTGTCTTTTTCAGTACTGATTCCATTTGCGTCATCTGTGCATCAAGATTATCTAGTTTATTTTGGAGGTTTTGTTTCTCTTGTTTCACACGCTCCATGTGTGAGTCAAGTTTGTCTTTTTCAGTTTTCAAAGACTTTACCTCATCATCACGTGCTTATGTTAATGTAAACAAGAANCATACACCCCTTTTATGTATGGGATAGTGACTATGACGTTACTTTTCTCTCTGTGTTTGTATGTTTTGTTTCTTTTGCCAATTGCAAAAGCTTAGTCATCTTTATGACCCCATTAAGTGACAGAGTGGGAGAGCATGTTACTCGCCCCCTGCCTGACTGCAGTATAAGAGTGCAATTTGGCGAAATGATTTTTGACAGCTGACTTTACTGATTCGGCACGCTATCTCTATCTCTTTCAGCGGTTACAAAGGAAACAGGTGTACTCAAAGGGAACGCGTCGACATCTACATTGTATATAATTAAACAAGACTTACTTTGACTGTCTATCAGTTTTTTATTTTCTGTCTTTGTCTTTTTCAGTACTGATTCCATTTGCGTCATCTGTGCATCAACATTATCTAGTTTATTTTGGAGGTTTTGTTTCTCTTGCTTCACACGCTCCATGTGTGAGTCAAGCTTGCTTTTTTCAGTTTTCAAAGACTTCAGCTCGTCATCACGTGCCGCTGTAAATTTAAACAAGAGTGGATTATGATCTTTTTACAGATTTCAATAGACTTATGTTGAGGTTTCGACTTTAGGACCTACTTGGGTTTGATTATTGTCTTCCACTTCTAAACATGTGTTCTTTCTCTGTTTCCTATTTATTTCATTATTTTTCTTTACAAAATCTTCATGATCTATGGTCTGGTTGTTTTTGCAGTCTATATATATGATATCTTACATTAACTATGATATTAATTTAATATAATAAAAGAAAAGATCGGTTAAACTCTTTGAATATGTTTCAATTAGCTTGCCATAGATACACGTTATTATGCGATATCTACATGGTGAAAGATGGAAAGGACAACAGTAATATCTCTATAACGAACAGTTTTATGTATCAATTGGACGTCCTTAGAACAGGGAGCAGGTTTGAAACAACCACAACGAAGGTAAAGAATACAACAGCGTTTACAAATTGTCTTTGGACCTCAAAATCGATAAAACTATGGCAAATAAGGAACAAATAATGATTAATAAAAAGACGCTATAAGATGTGCAAGGGTAATAAGACCAGGTATTCCACCAGGGAAAGCATCAATACATTTTGAATACAAAATACTTACTTAAAGGCTAAGTTTGTTATGGAAACAAACAGGAATTGAAAGACTTTACTGATTCGGCACACTGATGCTTAGTTAGTTGTTTCAGCGGTTACAATCGGAACATATGTTCTAGATTGATCAAGACTTACTTTGACTGTCTGCCAGTTTTTCGTTTTCTGTCTTTGTCTTTTTCAATTCTGATTCCATTTGCGTCATCTGTGCATCAACATTATCTAGTTTATTTTGGAGGTTTTGTTTCTCTTGCTTCACACGCTCCATGTGTGAGTCAAGTTTGTCTTTTTCAGTTTTCAAAGACTTCACCTCATCATCACGTGCTTCTGTTAATGTAAACAAGAGTGGATTATGATCTTTTCAAAGATGTCAACAGATTAATGTTGATTCATTTTAATCAATTCCTCCATTCGGAAACTGCCGGAGACAAGTTTGCTTTT